ACAAATCACTATCCATAAATTGAACGAATTGGGGTTGAAGTTCTACCTCACCCGCCATATTCTCCAGACCTTTCACCAACCGACTATCACCTTTTCAAATTTTCAGAACTTCCTTGCTGGAAAATACTTCATCAATCAGGACCAGGCAAAAAGCCTTCGTGGATTTCGTGGATTCTCGACCACCCAGTTTTTTTTCTTTGATGGGATTTATCGACTGGTGTCACATTGGCAAAAGTGTGCTGATTCGAACGGTGCTTATTTCGATTGAAATCCGATGAGTATTAAGAAAGTTATGATCGTTTAAAGTGAAACACTCAAAACGCTGAGAACTTTCCGGACAACCTAATACAGCCGGTACTAACAGTAACTCAGAGTGGTGTCCTGTTGGACGCCTCAAACAGCGCTGTGCTAATGCTGCCAAGTTGTAGTTGCTATTTGTTCCCCCCGACATTTGTTAGAGTAACTCAATAGTGAAGAAAAAAGCAGAAAAAACATGCCCAATGTCCTAAATAGGACCCCATTACAATCCTAGTTTGTACGTGCATGCGATGGGGAAACAGCGCTTATGGACGAGCGTTCCACGTTATTGGCTCGCTGCCAGAAATAGGTGTGGCGCCACGTTTGAAAGACTGACCTTTAATATTCTTATTTTTTCAGTGAATCATCGTATCATTATGTTTCTTTGTTCTTTTTGAGTTTGTTTTTGCTTTTCAAATTCAAAATGTTGCTATTTTCTTCCAACATTTCGTGCACTTTTGCAATACAATACTTTTTGCAATACATTTCCAGTTTTACCACTCCGCGCGCTCAGCTGACTCAATACAACCCTACGTCCGTACAAATAACGAAGGCGCTTAGATTTTCATGCTTTTCTCGTCCCACAACTTGGTTTTTCACTGAAGGGCGGCGCTTGGGAGGCGGAGTCACTGGAAAAAAGGAGGAACCACTGGAACCTATTGCGCCTTATAGCGCCCCTCTCCTGCACTTTTTTGGCGCGAAACCGGTACCAGGGTGTTCGTCGCGGACTGCACTAACCTCCTGACGCCATATTTTTAACTTCGATACCTCATCGCGGACTGTTCCTTTAATGGCACATTCGCGATTACTGACAAGAGTAAAACCTTTGTGTAGGAAACAGGTGTAGGCTTTTAAGAAGGCGGAAGGGAGCGGCTGCTTAAGGGACTCCATCTGGGCGAAGTAACTCCGCCTTGTGCTGACAGTTGCTGCTCCACTCGCTTGTGCGCTCTCTTGCCCCTTCCATCCTTCCGTACATTTTGGATCTTTCCTAAGAAATCGCTCGTGGAAGTTAGGAAAGATAAGATAGGAAGTTGTCTCCTCGGCCTTTTTAGACGAGGGTCAGCCAGCTTATTTTTCCATCTTGCCTCTGCTATCTAAAACTTGCAATCACTCGGTCTAAAAAACGTATCTTCAGGTCAGGAGAGGTGATTTCACTATACTAGAAGAGCTCACTTATCAAGTGGTATGAAAGCTGACACAGTGGCCTAACCTCGTATACAGTGGGATCTGTGCCGTTCTTCAGCACATACTGCGTCACAAATCGAATCATTCCGATGTTCGGCTTCTCCGTCATGATTTTCCTGCAAAGAGCATTTAAAAAAATCCTTCATGCGAAAGAAATTCTCTATCAAATCAATCCACAATAAACTAGTTAATCGTACGATATGATAATGTATGATAATGTATTAGGTTGGCGGGAAAGTTCTGTCACACTTTTTCGAACTCAAAATACTTGCCCATTACCTGAAGAGGGGTAACCGGTAATGTGAGCACTTAGTGTTCTTTCTATTAGTACCACTCGCTTGACTCCTGCTTCTTCTTCTGCAATATGGACAAGGATTTTATCCGCTACCATCGGCACCGACCCCTCCAAGCGCTTCCTCAAACTCTTTCTTCCACCACCCTGACGCCAGCATGATAGCTGATGCCAAAATAATGGAGCTGAATAAGACGATGCCATCAATTATTGAAGGGAAAAATTCGCCCGCACAGTCCGTCTTCAACGTGACAGTGCAGCCTACTCCGTCCAAAAAAATTCGAGCCGTACCTCATACAATAGAGCTGGATCGCTCTCCCCTTGCACTGGTGCAGCACAGACATTGCTCCTTCTAACTGCGAGTTGCCTCCCGTACTCGACCGTTATATGGACAAGAAAACCTCCACAACCCGAGCCCAATTCAAAATTGAGATGTTGTCCAACTTTGCGTCGCGCTGGCCTGCATTGTGAGGCGATGGCATCCATGAGGTGCTCAAGAACTGGAAAGAACCCGCAGTAACATTGCTGTATAATTTTGATCTTACACGCCTCTCTATAAAAAGAAAGCGTAATTTGAAAAAAGGTGACAGAACTTTCCCGAACTTTTTCCTGATAAAACGGAAACTGAACGTTTCTTTCGAGAAAACCTCACAAATACACTACATGACATGATTACACAGCGATGCTTTTCTCTAGTGAAACGTTAGTTATCACAATACTCTAAATATTTTGTTTCACATCACATTCAGGTGAAGATGGCGATTCTGCTTTCTGTTAACATTATTCTACAGTACTTCCCAGCTCGTAGTTTTGAGTGGTGGTACCTTACTAGAAGGAATTATCATCATTATTGGCAACTCAACTAACGTTGTATAGGCAGATAGGGTTGTGTTCGTGTCCGTGGGCAAAATACGCTCATCTAAATCGGCATAGATCGTGTAATTGGAATGATATCGACTTCGATGAATACAATCCTATAAAGGAAAAAGTTTTGGTTTTTTAACAGCTAAGTGTAATGCACCTTTGATTTCAAAAGTTCAGCATTACCTGATAGATTGCCCACTAAGATTCAAAGAGTAGCTATAGGAATAGCCGTTCAACCAGGCTGTAACACCGTTGTGCAAGACCCATTAGGGAGATCGTACTTGATATCCGTGGTAGGGATGGGGCCGCACATGGTCTTGAAAAAAATTTTCTGAGTCACGAAATTCTGCCAAAACTGGCTGATTTTTTCTACCGTGGATGATTATATGGGCTGATAGGTGGCCACGTGTGCAAGAAAAGGATGTTTGAATCAGTTGATGTAAATGTAAGATGTATCATAAAAGTATGCCCCATGACTTTGCAGAAAAAAGGTCGAGGGCTAATGATTACATATTATTGTTTTATAGTTCCGAACAGCATATTAGACGCAATCTAATAAAATAAATCCCCTACCTGCGTGCCAACAAGATGCCATTCGATACTCGGTCTGTCTTGCTTTTCTCTGAAGTACACCACTTCGGCCTCACCACTCTTTACGTAATGTTTTATCAGCTGAAATACTGGTTTAAAGCGGTTTAATAATCTGTAATAATCACACTACTACTGATACTAACAATTTAATAAGTAACAATCAATAATAATCATAATGATAATAATAGATAATAATCATAAGAATCAAGCAGTAATATAGCGAATACATTCGAAAAGTAATTGAATTGATAATACATATAATAAGTAATAATAAATAATATAATTTAAATTTAATAATATTATAATAATAATAATAATGAATACATCAGCTTAATAATAATATCCGTCAGGATCCTTGGTGGCTAAAGTGAGTTTTTATTGCCGAGGTTACGTCAGAAGGCGAAGCAACTTCATTCATTTTTCGCGATGACGCGCTACAACTAAATTGCGCTCCAAAGCTATATATGCGAACGCATCTGCGAGTATGGGGAATGCGATGGATTTGTTGCCTAGTCGACCGGATTGATCTCGATCGGCAGTAGCCGGCAGTGACTGCGTTCGCCCCGTACTACTCTCGTGGAGTGCTAATTGAGCGCTGCGGTGCGCTCCGCAATGTGTAGCGCGGCGTGGCGGACGGCGCAATTGCAGCGATTGCAGCGTGTCATTGCGAAGTCTCTATGCTGCTTCACATGCACTGTCGTGTCGTATACTACAAAGCTGAAACATTGGGAGCAGAAAATACTATCCCAGCGTAATGAAGATCACAAGACGGTTATTAAAGCATGAAGCCGTATTTCAGCTCATTCCCTATTCTTTTGAAACCGGATACATATTCCGATCTCAGGGGCTAGGAGGTGGGAAACCTCAAAAATTCAGCACCTGCAAATGTGAATGTAATAAAAGTACCCATCACCTTCACTCCATGTGGCCACTTGAAAACAGTTTATAATGGTGAGATAAAGTGAGCACTCCGAACCTTGTCCGTATATTGGTCCACATCCTTCACATAAATGTAGAAGTGCTGGACACCTTGCAGTTTATAATGTTCAATGTATTCAGCAAAAAGCAGGAATTTCGTATCACTGCCATACATGGGTTTTACGCACATTGACAAAGTGTATTTTGGATCTGCAAATATAGTACAAATTTTTTATTTTTTTCAGTAAACTCTTACTATTCATAGAGTATGTGCGCCGCAGTTGTACACTGATGATTCCTGCAAACGATAGGGCGTGACGGGGCTTGTATTGGAGTATTGCCGAAGTGGCCTTGCCATCTATCATGCCATCTCGAGTTCGCAGCAACTGGCGGAAAAGGCTATTCTGGCTGCGGTACAGCCAGCGCTCTTGTCACATACTCTGTCGTTCGCAGGGATCATGACTGTACCATTTTTGATAGTTGATCAGACTACTGTTTGCTGCCCTCTCCCCCTTCCGTCCTTAACAGATGTTGGAGAGGGGTCGTATTCCAAGATACCTCCCCTCGATGGATGACATGCTTGCTCCCATATTCCGACAGGGATACATTTTCAGTTTCTTCGGAAGACAGTGGGTTTTTTGCGCATCTGTGGCCGTAATCACTGATGTGATGTGATGACTGAGGATGCAGGCTATGTAGGACGTCCTGGGACATGCCCCAACATTTTTCAGGAAATTGGCTTTGCTCACTATAGAATTTCAGCGTCCATCTCGCGTCCAACAAATAAGATCGAAATTCCGCGAGCACGCTTGCCGCTCGCAACGCAGTCTTCGCTGCACCGCCGCAACTCACAACCTCCTAACCAGCATCCTCACGGCTACAGCTACTGATATAACACTGGCGCGACCACTCGAAAATACTCGCGATGATATTTTTTTTCCTTCTGAACCGACTTCTTACAAGAGGTAAATGTCTCTAAGCGCCCAACTGATGGGGCCCTCTCATAGAGCACGT